ATTCTATATATATATATATATAGTATGATTTATGTATTTATATATATTGTATGATTTATGTATTTATTCATTTCAGCACAGTAATAATAATTTGATAATAATAATGAATCTATAATTAAATTAGATTTTAAAATAAATAAAAATGAAACAAATTATATAATTACTTTAAAATTCAGCAAAAAATATATTCACTGAAACAAATACCACCATGATGTATACTGACAAATGTACTGTATGCTTTATATTCTATATATTTTTATATTTTATTTTGCATCATAGTATTGATAATTTGTTGCGAAATGGACTTAATTGTCATGAAATAATAATAATAAAGTAAAACCCTAAATATATGCCTAAATTTATCCAGTCTTTCCTAAAAGTAAATTTAAATTAAAAATGATTTAATAATTACATTAAAATTCAGCATGAATTACACCGACAGAAACAAATACTAACATGATGTATGTACTTTGCAATTTATATTTAATAAAAATATATTTTGTTTATTTTTTTGTATTTAAAATAAAATAGCATGTTGAATTATAAATCTCAATAAAATTATATATAATTGTATTTTTATTATTATTATTATAATTAATTTTGCTTTTGGGTGAAATACAACCTGGACATTTTTTGTGAAATCATAGTTTTTTTTTTCTGTCTTTTGGTAACTGTGATAAGTTAACGTTACACGTCTCTTGATTCCTCTGTTTTCAGGGTAAGACGAGAGAGAGAGAGCAGCAGAAAGAGAAAAGCAGAGAGAGAGACAAGGACAAAGAGAAAGAGTTGCGTGAGCGTGTGAAAGTGCGGCGTCGCAGCGTGAGTGGCCACCAGCTCGTGCCTGGTTCATTCTCCACCTGGGCGACATGTTCACTGTGCAGCAAGACCCTGCAGAGGAAGCATGGCCTGCAGTGCTTGAGTGAGTAACCCACGACCACAAACACACACCTGTGCATACGCTCAGCTGCTCCACCAGAGTGCATGTCACAGTCAACCCCAGACTTTCTCACAGTTTTAATGGGGCTATTGCATCTTTCACGGGGTTTCCTTAGATTATGAGCTGTGATAAACTATCAGCCGCTTGACCCACTGACTCAATCTGTCACGTGACGCAACATTGCTCGAGCTTCCGCTGTTTTGCAACCTGCTTTGTGCTGCGGAGAACTGCGGGTTTGCGTACAGATGAGCTAGTTTGATTTGATCAAGTTTCTAGTGACTGAGGGAGTTTACACGAGAACTTAAAGGGACAGTTCACCCAAAATTTAAATGGCCTTTATTATAAATATATGTTTTGCATTTCACAGTTATTTATTTATGATTGTTTGTTTGTTTGTTTGTTTAACAAAAAGAAGAAATATAAAGGGTGTCTAGCCCTGTTTTTTTCTTAAATTAAAAAATACATAAATTCAGCATAAATTATTCACTGAAATAAATACTATCATGATTATTTATAATTATAAATAACATGAATTGCATAAAAATAGAACATGTATTTTAAGTAAATAATAGGTAAATCCCATAAAACATTCAAGGAACTATAGTTTTTAATATCTTATCGATTCATGGAAATTTGTGAAAATATATGTTGATGTATTTATAATTTATATGTTCTAGAAAGTAAAACCCACAAACCATGCAAGGATCACATTTATTTATTTGTTTTGTTTGTTTACACAAAATCGCAATTCCATTGTTTTTTTGTTTTGTTTTGTTTTTATATTTTCCGCTATATTTTCAGTGATCTATTTTGATAGATAGATGGAATGTACTATGCATATTTAAATACTTATATTGTATACGTTTTGTTTGTTTGTTGGTTTTTTATTTTTTATATTACAACATAACTTTTTTTGTTGGTAAAAGGTAGTATAATAATTATATATAGATCTCTCTCTCTCTCTCTCTCTCTCTCTCTCTCTATATATATATATATATATATATATAACGAGCATAAAGTAGTAAACATAGTCCAAATGACTATATTCCAAGTCTTTTAAAGTCATATGCTAACATATGAAAATTATTTTTTTTTTAATCTGACTACTTTTCTGTTGCGTTTTGTTTGTTTGTTTGGGTTTGGAATTATGTAAGGGTGGTAAATAATACCATAATGCTTAAGATGTTGTTGGCCATTCAAGGTTTCTGTAAAAAAAAATAAAGGTTGAAGGTTCGAGGCTCGAGCCTTTTTTTTTGTATTCAATGTTTGTCAATGCCAGACTTTACAGAAAAGGGGAAACAAAAGTGTTGCTGTAACTTTGAGTCCCTTAATGCCTATATATATATATATATATATATATATATTTTTTTTTTTTTTTTATGAAAAATTCTTCTGAACATTCATTAATCTTAGGTATTCCAATATTTAATAACAGGATGTTCAAATCTAGAGTTGCAGCTGTGTTATTTAATGAGCTAACATGAACTAAGACTTGTATTTTTTAAACAAGGATTAATAACTTCTGTAGCAAATGTTGCTATTGCTCATTGTGAATGTTAATGCATTAACTAAGGTTAACTAATGAGGTCTTATTGTAAAGTGATACCTATTGGTCTTTATAGTTCTTTTGCATTTTAATCTGTGTAAAACTTTTAACTTTATACATTTCTGTATTGCTTTATTGCATTTAAATGTTCAGTTATTTTTGTTATAAGAAAAAAGTTATTAAACCTGTTATACTGTATTATCTTTTTTTAAACTAAATTTCAATATCGTGATAATACCGTATACCGTGATAAAAGCATTAGCAATTAATCGCAACATGAGAATTTGATACCGGCATATCCCTAATGTTGACCAAGCTATACATAGATAGTATCCAAAACTAGGCTGACACATAAGCAATTTCTATGTGTATCTTTTCATATTTTTTCCAAATCTTTTCTATTTAATAAAAAAATACTTTTGATTTAAAAAAAAAAGTACAATTGATAAAAATGATGGATGGATGGTTGGCTAAATAGATATGTATTTTTTAAAAATATATTTTTAGAAACTAAAACCTCACAACCATTGTTTTTAAAATTGTATCCATTCATTATGGAAATATGTGAAAATATATGCTTGCTGATATATTTAGAATGTATATATTCTAGAAAGTAAATCCCAAAAACCCTGCAAGGATCACATTTGTTTGATGTTTGTTTGTTTGTTACACAAATAAACATCCTTAGTTTATTTATTTTTTTTCCCTTTTTTTTTTTAGTTATCTTTTAGTGAATGGATAAAATGATGGATGGATGGACAGATTTTCTCATCCATTCATGATTCATTAAAATATGTGAAAATAAAAGGAAGATTAAAATTATAAAATATATTTTTAAAATGTATTTTATATTTATATCAAAAAAATTTTTTTTACTATTTCTTTTCATATTTATTGACTCACAACCACACTGAAAATTCAAACCACTCCAAACATTCCAAAATCGCGCCTGTCGCTTTAAATTTGGGACTCAGCCTGTGTGGAATGCGCCTCTTGTCCCATAATGCCGCGCGGCGCAGTACTGGGACAGTCAATCTACATACAGCAGTCGCGATTGGCGCTGCTTTTTTAGGTTGCCAGGTGATGTGTCGTGTGTTTTTGTGTGGCTGTCATAGTAACCTGAGTGATGTTTGAGGTGACGAGGCCGTAAAGCGCGTCCACGGCGTCATAAACGGTGAGTTTGTTCAGAGTAACAGGTGTTTGCTAACAGAGCTAATAAACACAGAGCTGCTAAAACACGTTCAAACTCTTTTCGAACGGCTGCGTTTTAGGTAAATGTTCAGCTACAGGTGGCTCTTTTTAACTTTTTAAATGACAGTTGCGTTAAAATAGCTGAAAGTTTGCTCAGTTGCTGGTTAAGAGGTCAGCTGGCCATTGTGTTTAGTTTCATTGGCTAGTCAACCAGGTCAGTGTTTATGCTGGACTTCAGGAACTTCAGTCAAACACTCGCAGACATTTTAGTTGGCAGGCTTTATTCATCACTGTCGTTAATTTCTTCATCGTAGTCGTTCGTTTGGCTAATTGCATTACATTGAGATCATTGTGTGCAGCTAGAAAAAAATTAACATGTAAACATTGCAACACAAGACCCAGCTAATCAATAATGGCATCACGTTGCCACCAGAATGAGTTGCTAGGGTGTTCTGGCAGGTTGTTATGTGGTTGCTAGGGTGTGTTGTCTCTTGTTGTTGTTTGCTAGTTATTGTCCACCAGGCTAATATTGTAAGTGTGGTAAGTTAGGGGGGAAAAATCTGTAGTAAAAGTGAATAGTAATTGTAATGAAATATAAAATTATACAAATTCATCACTTTTTATAAATACATTTTGGTTCTGATTTAACAATAAATGTATTTTTTTATTGTGTTATTAAAAATACTGTATATAATATACTATAATAAATCATAATACGTTACAGTCCATGAGAAATGTTTATTAGTTTCTATTTACAATGCATAATAATAAATTAAAATAACCACATCTGTCATTTGTTATAGTATAATCAGCATTGTTATTGTCCAAAACCAGAAATAAACATTAATAAATGTATATATTTTTAATAAAAAATATACATTGTTAATAGTAATAATGTGTACATAATTCATATTACACTATATTTATTTAATTTTTATTAACATTTATATTGCTAAGTTTCTTTTTACAAAGCATATTAATAACTTAAAAAATTCACAATACATCTGTCTGTTGTTGTAGTATAATCATTTATTTACTGTCAAAAAGCAAAAATAATTAAATAATCAGTTTTACAATTTTATTTATTGCACAAATAAATTTAAATATACTTTTATTTATATTTTTAAATGTAAAACAATCATTTATATGTTATTGATATATAATATTACATTATATTTATTATTACTTATTATTTATGATCACATTTATTATTACTATTATTTACATTATTATTTAAGTTTCTGTTTACAATGCAGATTATTTGTTGTGCAGTTACAGATATGTAGGATTGATTGTTGTAATTATTTATTTCTTATTGACACTAACTAAATTATGATTATACTATATTAATAGACATGAATATTAAAATTTTTATAATTATTATTTATTAATGTTTATGTAAATTTGTTTTGAAATCTGGGGGAAAATACCGTCTGGTAAAAGTGAATATAGTGTTAGTAATGCTTGCCTTAAATTTTGAAGTTGGACAAAATCAAGAATTTGAATATTTGAATTCTAATTTAACATTACATTTCTTTTTTAATGTGTTGAATATTACATCCTATCTTATTAATAGTTAATTCGGCCTTGTGGTGTTCTGAAATGTGTTATTTTGTGATTCAGAAGTAAAAGATTAATGTAGCTGGAAGCAGCAAATGTGAGTCATTTAATACTCGAAGAGTTTGTTTCAGTGTAATTCTTGTGGTTTTGTTGACATTTGTAGGCACTTTCAGTCTGTTTTTGGAGGAATAATGGTGTTTGAGATCCTCCTGTCCTGATGGAGCTGTTCTTAAGCTGGACGCTCACATGCTGCTAACTGTGTTTGGCAGCAGTCGCTCACTTCAGTGAGTCCCCCCTCCGCATGCCTGAGCGCTGTCAGGTGCACCCGTCCCGTCGGCTCCTCTGAAGCTGCGCTTTGATGTCCCAGGTTTGCTGACCCAAGCTGGTTTTTAGGTGTTTGTCAGAGCGTGAGATAAATAACCACGTCACGCTTCTTAAAACACCCACGTTCACATTCCAGCGAGCGGATCATGTGATGTGATAACAGGATTATGAATGATCCTCAGGGAGCTAATCGTGGAGTTCAAGTTCCTGTTCCGTTTTCAGGCGTATTTGACGTTCCAGAAAGTCATTAGACGTTCACTTGATCTTGATCTTTGAATAAAGCCTTTCTCTGGACTTCCTTAATGTTGGTCACAGACAGAAGTGTTCTATTTCCATTTATTATTAAGAATCAAAGTGATTTGCTGAATTGCTAAAATGAATGGGATTTTGGAATTCTGCCTCTAACAGTTGATGCTGGTCTGGACTTGACTGGATACATTTCTAAGGGTTTATTTGAACTTGTTTCAATGCGATCTGCTAGCTATATTATATAATATATTGTTTACGTTTCTCAACAATTAAAAAAAAAGTATTTAATTATTCTACATTTTAAAAATGAATTCAAATATATTATTATTTGTTTAAATGATTTA